TACCAATATTCTCATTCACCAAAAGAAAAAAATAAATGTCCAATATCAAGGCCTATGTAAGAACACAGTATAACCAAACATAACCAAAGGAAACAAAATAAGAATAAAACAAGCCACTTCTGGGCCCAAAAAGTGAAGAGTTATGGTGACTTGTATAAAAATAAAAGACTTAACTTTTTCTGAAAACATTCTAGTCAAGAAACCTTCAAATATTGATTTCTCCAATTAGTTCCAAATTGCCACATCAATAATGTATAATCAGAACAACTTGAATCATCTATATAGTCTCAATTTTACTTCCAATTCAAGATAAGTAACCACAAAGTTGAGAAAGTATAGTAAGTTCTTGATTGCCTGGATTAAAAAACAAACAAACAAAAAAGCAGTCTGAGTTAGATTTTGACATCCCTATTAAAACACCAAAAAAAAACCAAAAAAAAAAAAAAAACACGAGCTTGAGTTGTGGCTTAGTGGTAAAGTGCTCGCCTATCGTGAGTAGGGCACTGGGCTCCATCCTCAGCACCACATAAAAATGAAATAAAGACACTGTGTCCACCTACAACTAAAAAATAAATATAAAAAAATCAAAAAATATTACTTAGGGATATGTACATACACACATGCACAACACTAATTTTGTGTACATGGTCAAGTAGTTTTATAGTTCTGATTCATCATGTTCTACTACTGTCACCCATTTAGAAATTATTAGGACTAGTAAAAGAAAAAAATGAAATTATTTAACTGCATTATGAAGTTTTATAGAAATATAAAACTCCTTTTTAACTTTAGCAACTGGGTAGAGATAAAATATATTTGTAATAGCATACATTATTTCAAGCTTATGTTTAATTCATTATATTTTATAAAACCAGTAACCTGTGGCATATTAAGACTATGTAATAAGTGGTTTCTGAGGATCGTGAAATACAATGGAAGATTAATGTCAAGTAGTCACTATGACAATCGGGAAGCTTGAAAATGCAAAATAAATAGAAGTTAAATAAAATGTCACATAGAATATTTCTAAAGACAACCGTCATCAGAACCAATCAATCTACTGGATTCTAATGGCAATCACAATCCTCCATGGACTTTATGGAATATGAAAACAGTTTATCACTCTGAACAAATAGAATATCAAAACAGCAAAGCAAATTAGCATTTGTTAAGCACTCACTTAAACTGCTGGAATCAAAATTATATAATTTCTAATTCTTATGGAGAAAATATGGGGAAAATTCTATTGCTAGTCACCATTTACTAAGAGCAGTGCCCTCTGCTTTCTTCTGCCCCCGGGGGAAAAAAAAAAAAACTTTTTTGAGAAGACAGAATTTACATATAAAATATCAGATGTTTAAGATATTTCTACACTATTTTTTTTTAAAAAAAAGAGGCCAAGTTAAAATCATAAGCCTAGTTAACCTACTTGCTTAATAATACTAATAATGGATGTTCTATGCATGTGCATGCCCATGCAAAAGGAAAGAAATTCTTCAACAGACACTGAGTCTCCCAAATATGGTGTGTGTGACTAACAGCTGAGAGGAAATGCAACTGAAACTGTTTGCTAGAGATCCATTAAAACCTAGGCGCAGAAAAATGCTGGGTGACAGCAAAGTTGGATGTGCAAATTTGTGCAGGAATGTAGCCAAATTTTTTCAATTCTCTCATAGTCTTAGGTTTATTGACAAATGGCCCTTTCTTTTTCAATTATAATGTTACATCCAAAGAACATCAGCTGAGATAGAAAACCTGCCTGGTCTTTAAAATAAATAGGACTAAGGTTTGAATTTATAAAGGCATGGAATTTCTACTAATGCAAACAAAATATGGCACAAAAAAATTCCATGTTCCATAAAACTTGCCAGTGTACCTCTCTCAAATCAGTACCTTAGAAAAAATAGCCATACTATTTTCACACTTCATTCTACAATTGACTTTGAATGTATTTGTAATTTTAAAATTTTTTCTGCGGACTCTTTGTGGATCATATATTCTCTGAAGGGAATAGGATTAGAAAAAATATGTATTTTAAAGCATGTGCTCCCAATACATTAATTTACAGATTTCCTTATGCTCAATCTTTGCTTGTTCTTAGGGGTAAACTAAATACTTAGCTCCTTTACAGATCATGTAATAACCACATTTTATTTCAGTCACTTTGTACTTGGTCTCTTCTTTGTTCTCTAGTTGCATGTTTTGAATGTTTTTTCAAAAAATGAAAGAATGATATTTTTCTTTAAAATTTTATAATTTAATCTGGGGGGTTAGATTGTCTACATTACAAAGTACAATATTCTATAACCAGCTCTAATTGTGTGGTGACCCCCAATAAAGTTGTTGAGCATTTTTTAGAAAAAGTACCACAATTTTTACAGAATTGTAATAGGTAAAAATGACACAGCACTGTGCAATTGAAGAAGTAATCCTCACAAAATTCACTGAATGCTCAAAACACCCCATGAAGCTGGGCACAGTGGTGCATGCCTGTAATGCCAGCAACTCAGGAGGCTGAGGCAGGAGGTTCTCAAGTTCAAAGGAAGCCTTAGTAACAGAGAGGTGCTAAGCAACTCATTGAGATCCTTTTTCTAAATAAAAAATACAAGATAGGGCTGGGGATGTGGCTCTGTGGTCAAGTGTCCCTGAGTTCAATCTCTGGTACAAAAAAAAAAAAAAAAAAAAAATCCCTTGATTATGTTTTCCTACTTTACTGAAAAAAGAACCAGAGATGGAAAAAGGTAAGTGACTGAACCAAAGTTACATACCAAGCAACAGACAGAGCTAAGATTCAAATTGGGCTCTCACAGCTAAATCAAATCCACCACTATAATTATAATGTTCCAATTCTTTCATAAATAATCTAATTTGATCATTATAACAACCTTATTAGAGTTCTTACATTCACCAAATACATATAACGTGGCAGATACTATTGTTCTACACTGTAATAATTCATTTGCTGCATGCAAAACTCTATAAGAAAGAGTTTTATTATTACCCTATTTTACAGATAAAAAAAGAAAACAACTGAAGCTCAGAGAAAAGAGGGCAAAATGTCCAAGATCACATGGTTAGTAGGTATTAATAGGAATCAGAATTCAATCCCGACCATTTGGGTCCAGTGCTAATGACATTCTTTACTTGTTCATTTTTAGGCAGGTTAACATAAAACAGATTAAGAAACTTGCCCAAAGTTACCAGAAAAAAAAAATATGCAGAGGAAGAACAAGAATTTCTTCTAACTCTTCATCCTAGCTACTTTTTCAACATGTAGTGAAATACTCGGACTCATTAAATCCAGAGAGGGCAAGAAGACTTTGGTGCAGGTGGTTTTGTGAAGCACAGTTTGAGAACAGTGGAGAGACACTGGCAAAGTGGCAGGGAGAAGAAATTCCATCAAGCTAATCAAGCTAGGGAAGATTTATCTTCCATAGATTGGAGGCAGAACAGAGTAAAACATATGTAAACATGGACAAGGGTATTTGTCATTTTGATGTAGAATTATGAAGTGGTGTGGATGAAGAGGTATGACTCTAATCAAGGAAATCAGTAAAAGTGTAGCACTAGAGTAAGTTGTTTTGAGAAAAAAATTAAAGTGACCAAAAGATTTGGAATAGGTTTTATAATGGCTCCAAAAGAAGTGATACCCCCACACTTGTCAAAATGATATAACCCTACACACCAAAAGAAATAAGGTAATCACTGAACAAAATCTACTCATTTTTCTCCTTTTTTTCTAAAATGGTATTCATAGTTTAGTAACTTCTTTTTCATTGTTAACTTACTATGGAGTAGAGACTAAGGAAGGGAGAACATAATTAGCACAACATGCTTCTCATTAATTTTCATACCAAGATTCTATGATGCTGGTTACTTTAGCAATAGATCTGCCTCAGATGCATATTAAAATCAGATGAAGGAAATTACAACAAAATTCCATTCAAATGAATAAACTGAAATGCCAACTTAAATCTAAAGTACATGTTAAAAGTAGAATTTGCAATGAATTAAAAAAAAAAAAAAGCACTGGATAAAGGCAATGATCCCAGGACACCAGTAAGAAGTACTTTTGAAAAGCCATGTTAAATGAGGAAAACTGGAAAACTAATGGAATTTCTTCTCTCATTACCTAAAATAAACCAGGACACTGAAATGGGCTTACACTATAGTATTTTGTTCATTTTAATTTCATTTTTATTTCATCAAACCACAAATTCCCTTGGAAATACCTCAGACACATGCCCACAATAATTGGAATGCCTAACATTTCAGTAATAAGTACTTTTGTGAGAGTTCAACAAAATAAAAAGAATGCAGTGATATTCCTCCAAGTTTTCTGCTTATGTCAACCGCTATTTTATGATTATTAAATTATCTCTGTGATTGTAAACTGCATGTGTAGAATACATTAAATGATCCCAAGTGAAGCCTTAAGTCAGAAGACCACATAAAGATCTAAACTACACACAGAAACATCAAAATCAAGCTGAACTTCTTAGAATATAACAATCATAATTTTTTTCTCCTGAAGCCATTACTGTTAAATATAACTTGATGAATTAAGTTCAAGTGTAACTACAATTGAAATATATGATTCACCTGAGCTATGACCTATTTTTCCTCTCAAAAGCAAACAGGAATCATGACAGTTGTAAGACATATTTTTCCATTCCAGGATCCTCTAAAACTTCTTTTACAGTACAGTTAAAAGTAAAATGAACTTATTGACACTTATTTGCTTTACAAAATAGTTACTTATGTTGTTGTTCATAACACAGAATTTTAGTTATTTATTAAATAACAACAATTATATTTGGTCATTTATTTTTAAACTGTACAGACCAAGAGGCATTCAGGAAAGAATAATGTCAATATGTAATATGATACCTACATCTAAAATTCAATTATAACTACATGACATATTTGCTTATAAGAAAATCAACAATTAGCATGACATATACAAAAATAAACATATATATGTGGATGAAAATACCCACCCCTAGCAGAAAGCTTTTTGGTGTTGATAATTTTGGCAGCATACTCTTGTCCAGTAGGGATTTTCATACATCTTCTGACCACTGAGAATGCTCCCCTGGAAACCAATAATTAGCAGGTTATCAATAATATCAGACCTAGCATTCTATTAAAAATTTACAACACTTGGACGTTTTTAACTGATTTGGGTGGACTATTAAATATCAATGTAACACAGCAATATTCAGAAAATGAACAATTCTTCCTGGAAACCCACACCTTCTTAATGATAAAGAATAAAATCAATTTTATTTAGCTGGAAGCACACATTACTAATCAACAAAATGAAAGAAACTGCCAATTATGACCGCTCTTGTTTGCACATGAAATTTGAAAACATTTTGCAATTCACACTCACAGCACCAAATGCTCTGAGAAAACCTTGCTAAGCACAGAGCTGAAGAAGAGCAGCAAAAATCTGCTGCCTATTTATTTTGGTAGGGAAAAAAAATTAACGTGACTCCAAGTAAGTAAATATGGCGATTATTTTCATTAAAATATAAAACTTGAGCACACTGATGTGCTTTAACAAATTCTGGTATGGTGATTTCTCCATGTCCTGTTTTAGGCTGGGGGAGGGGAGAGGGTTGAATTAAGCTGCTCTTCCGACATATTCTCCATGTTTTAACAGCAGACAATATAAAAAGGTGGTTTTGACGACATTTACAAATATTTATTTCCTTCAATTCAACCGTATAATCCAACAATGCCTCTCAACGCACCCCTTTCAAAAAAGTGGAAACTAGCGATAGAGAAGGATTTGGGTTTGATGCTACATAAATCAACATTCATGACTCTGCCCCTAGGTTCCTTTGCACAGATCCTCAGTAGGTATTCTGTCCTCTTCCTTAACATTTCCAAGTAGTTCTTGCCAGTTAAGCGTAGGAGGTCGTTTATACAACGCTAGGCTACCCTTGGGATGCGCTCTCCCAGTCTCCAAAGGGCTTTTCAGCTGCCTGTATAAATAAATCCTCCCAGAGAATGCAAAGATGCACACATAAATCCTAGGAAGAATGATGGTGAGCGAGTAATCTAGCGCAAAGAATAATAGCGAATATAGGGCAGGGGGTTGGGTTCTGTTGGGTGGCCCTTTTCCTGGACAGAACTACTGGATGCGAAACAGACTCTACATTAAGCCAAGTTGAACTTTCGGCATCAATAAATATGGCACTGTCTGTGGCAGTGAGCGCTCTTTCGTACGTGGGTCAGACGGCGGACACGCGGGCTAACCAGGAGGCATCTCTATTTACAGAAAACGTGATATATGTTGCATTTTACATGGGTTCTTGCTTCCTCTCCAAACACATACACGCGCGCGCACACACACACACACGCACGCACACTTCTGAGGATGACAGCTACAACTGCAGAGACCGTAAATTCACTAAGTCTCTCCCTGCAAGAGGGTGGGGAGCGGGAAAAGGTGGGCTAAGGACTGTGGCAGCGGGCCACAGTCGGAGTAGGGGGTTCTTACCCTCCCCAGTCCCCTTTCCTAAGAGCACCTTTCCAGAGAGACAAACCAGGGGCCCTCCTCCCTCTCCTCCGGTCTCCAGAACTCCCCTGCCCACACCAGAGGTGAATGGGTCGGGGGCAAAGCGACCCTCCCTCTGCTGGAAAGGGGACGTGCGATGCAGGGCAAAGGCGCTTACTTTCCGAGCTCCTCGAAAAGCTGATACTCGTCGGTGAACCTGGTGCAGGTGGTGGTCGATGCCATCCTCGGTCCGGGCTGTGCCCTGGCTGGGAGCGCGACTGGCGAGAGGCGAGCAGACGCGCGTCTTCCCTGGGACTGGCCCCGCGGCGCTGTCACCCAGAGCCGCCCTCACTTTCCTCGTCCCAAAGTAGCTCACCCGCGAGGGAGTGTGCGCAGGGGCGGGGCGGGAGGGGAGATGACCAGAAAGGGTGGTGTGGGGTCTCCTCCCCACAGTCCGCCGATCCTCCTCCGCCTGTGGGCCTCGCTTCCTTCTTCCCTAGACGCTTCGCCTGTTCCCTTTCTAGCCCCTCTCCCCAAATGTAGGGGGCAAAGTACTCAAGAAGGAGCAGGGAAAGGGAAAAACAGTCGGGCACGGGGCGACAGGCGAGCAGTTGCGAAACGATCCACACCAGGGGCAAGGGTGGAGGGGAGGGAGTCCGAACGGGTGGAGGCGGAGTGCAGAGGGGCTGAGGCCGCGGAGCCCGGAGCGGACAGCGCGAGCCCAGCTGCAGCTGTCAGCAGGCGCGGGCGCGGGGCGCGCCTGGGCTCGGCCGAGCGTGCGCACCCGGGGCCAGCTCTCTCCCGAGAGCAGCGGCGGCGCAGGCGGCGCCGAGCACCTCGGCGGCCTCGCGGTCCACACGAGCCCGAGAGGCTTGGAGACGGTGCRGAGAGAGAAAGAGCGCTCGGCTCGGGCGAAGCCTCGTAGACCGTCCCTGGGCCTCTGTCTCCACCCCCAGCACCTCCTCCGCCGCTCCCTCCGCCTGCCAGCACCCCCTTCCTCGCGAAGCCCCCTCCTCGCCGGTCCCACACCTCCCTCTAGCGACTCCAACCGCGTCCCTTCCAGGCTCTCTCTTCCTCCCGTGGTCTCACACTGGAGCACACCCGTCTAAGGAAACCTGGTGGGAGGAGGATGTGCGGGGGAGAAGCCTGTAGAGGATTTTGGTGAATGAAGAGTGGGTCAAAATTACCCATTTAAACCAGAGAATCCTTCCTCAAGGTGGGGTTTCCGGACCGGGGAAACACGGGGCAGCTCGTGCACCCACAGGGGCTGCTGCGGGGGGTCGCAGAGGCCCGCGCCCTTTGGGGTGGCGGGCACTAGGGAAGTCTAGGCGAGGGGCGCAACCACTACCCGTCTGGGCGCTCAGTGTCAACCCGGCAGGGCCGGATGTGGGCATCTGAATGCTTCCACGGAAGGGTCCTAACCTCCCACGGTCTCCCAGCGACTGTGGGGGACCAACCCAGCTCAAGCCCGCGTTCGCCGCGCCTAGCGCGGCTCAAGACACGGGTTGTCTCCCTCCCACGCAACCCTTTTAGCTAGGGCCGAGGACAGCCCGTGCGCCACGTTTCACTTCAGATTTGACTGTCACTTCTGTCCAGCCAGCTCCCCTAGTGTTTTCCAGGTGGGTTGCTTAGACTCTGGCAGTCCCCAAAGGCCTTTAGCTTGGCCATGAATTTTAACAGAATGAAAGCAAAAACTCCACCACCCTGCCACACCTTCCTTTCCCTCCAGAGTAATTCCCCCAGTCACCTAAGTAAGTTCTGATAGTAAGGCCAGTTCTCGCGAGCTTTCCCGCTCCGGTGGCGGGGGCGGGATAGTAGGCAAGGTTGGGTGTCGGTCACGCGACCCAGTGGGGGCTGACGTCACTCGCGTCACATGAACTTGTCTAGTCTGTTTCGCTTTGTAAAGGGAAAAGGAAAAGGAGAGGTCGTGTGTGCTTCGCTTGCAGGCGCAAAGATCCAAACAGATAGTGGCACTTGAGTATTCTCCGTAAATGGTAATCTGCAAAACCAACTGACAGTTCAGGAATGTCTGCCATTGTTTTCCGTAATTAGGAGAAAAATAATTATTCATTACATTTAAACTAGATAAATAGTTGTTGACAGTTAAAATAACTTCCTGGGCCTGCTTTTCACTTCTAGGTCTTTAATATAAACTATGCAACTGCAAATTTAGAGGCAGACTAAAAACAAAAGCATCATGAATAGTCTTCTTAAAATTGCTGCCTTTTGTTCYACAGCACAAGGACTTGCATTCCTGTTGGTAATTTGCTCCTCTTTAGTTCATTTTCAACTTAAAACTTTACAGCTGGAAGATAAAGGATAATTTACATTTACGGAGAACTTAAGATTTAAAGGTGGTGTTGCTTGTTCCCAGAGGCTATTAATTAGTAAATTACCTTACCTGCAGTCAGGTTTGATCCTAATTTTTTTATTCCCTCATCTAAGGAATGCGGTTCTGCCAGTGACCTCCTTTTACTGAAATACTCAAGATACATAAATGTTTTTAAAATGCTCTGGGATTTTTGTTGTTGTTGTTGGTTGCACATTTACAAGAATTGCCAACATCTCAGATATCCCTCCCCCACCTCGCCAATAAATATTTCTGTGTTAAACTATTATTCAGTGTCTGCATCGTTCTATCTATGAAAATGTTATTTATAATAGAATGTTATGCTTTACTATGATTTTGTTCCTGGTCGCCTTTATTTGTATCTGTTGCTAATTCTTCCAGTAGTCTGAGTACAGTTTTCAACAATGCCAAACACATTAGGTCATCCATAGGTTGCAATTTTTTTCTTGTGTGTGTCTAATTGAAGACTTCTACTGTTCAGCTGGCATCATAGAACATCATTTGCTTCATCTTTAAAATTCTTTTTGCCCTTTCTCTAGTTTGGATCCCTTGATCCTTGCATCTCTTGTCTTTAATGTAGTTCATAAATTTTAACACCTGTTAAGAAAAAAATGAAGTTTGTATGAGTCTTGATTCCCAGCCTTCTAAAGCAAGAATCACATTGCTTAAAATATAGTGGTATAGCACAAAATGATACCAAAAACTACATGAAGGAATGAAACCTGCTGTTTAAACATTAATAATTGAGCTATAAATTGAAAAAAACAATTTGGTATTGACTAAGAATTTTTAATGTACATCTCAAATATTTAGTACTATGTCTCCAATTTATAATGAAATAATGTAATATTCTTCCCTGACTCTAAAAATGAAACAGAAAAACTAAAATTAAAACAATAAATAAAGATAATATAAAATTTTTACAGCTCTGGGAAGAAAATTGTTTCTTAAATATTCCAGTAATGAAGTTTTACATAATTATAGTATTTATCTCAGTTATTTAAACTACCAACAATGGTTATGATAATTGTGCAATACAATAAAAGAAACAACTGAGATTAATGTTGATGTATGATCAGACAATTAATGTGTACATTTTTTAATAAAAAGCCCTGGTTGCTTAATCTATATTTGCTCTGTTCTTTAATCTATATTTTGAACTAATTAAAATATTTCTTATTTAAGTAAATAGTCACTGTTATTTCTGAAGTTTGAACCTCCTAAGATAGTAATTAGATTAAAATATTTTTTAACTTTAACAGCATTTCTGAAATAACTACGAAATACAGTTAAATAATAAAAGGTATAGACCCATAAACATAGACGAACATTAGATGTTGTGCTTCAGTTTAGTGCCAGATGTGTTTCAACAAACATGCTTAACTGTTCCCAAGAGTAAAAGAGAGGAGGAATAAGGAGTTAAGAGACGGAGTTTTTAAGAAAAAATTATTCACAAAACTTGGATGACAAGGCAGGTTTTATTCAAATTGGGCAATGTTGATAGGGACCACTGCAACTGGAAGAGAGATTGTATTCAACTCTTAACTCCAACAAGGACAAGTGGCAATTTATAACCAAGGAGCATGGTGAAGGTCAGTGTGTGTAAAATTCTCTCCCTCTCATTTAGCTACTTGCAATTAAAAATTGCAGGACTTTAGTAGAGTCACCAGGAAGATGCAAGTTTCTCATATTTTTTTTTTTTTAAGAGAGAGTGAGAGAGGAGAGACAGGGAGAGAGAATTTTTAATATTTATTTTTTAGTTCTTGGCGGACACAACATCTTTGTTGGTATGTGGTGCTGAGGATCGAACCCGGGCYGCACGCATGCTAGGCGAGCGCGCTACCACTTGAGCCACATCCCCAGCCCAGTTTCTCATATTTAAGTATATAAGGGCAGATATTAATATTCATGGATTTTCCTTGATACAAGTTACAAGACAAGAAACAATGAAGAAATAATGTTATTTCCATAGTTGGCTCAGTGCAAGTTCCAAGTAGATTTTTTTGTAAAATTTGTTAGCAAGACTGTATCAGCAGAATTTGAGTCTTTTGTGCACCTGTAATGATTTTCACTTACAGATAGCTGTTTTAGCATTTATTACACTGGACTACAGTCCAGATTATTAGCCAGATTCAGAGTCAATGAGTAAATAAGCAACTTGCTATTGATTTTTCCAGTTGACCTTCCCATGTGATAACTTAATGACACAGAGCCAGATACAGATAGAGTCTAAAGCCAGACACAGATATGGTCTGTGCATGAGCAGAAAGCCTGTTCACTGCACCATCTCTTAGTGCAAGACAAATTCAATTTGCAGAGAGAGAAACTATCCATAGAACAAAAGCTAACAACAGAAAATATTTTGTTTCATCAGCTACTGAAATAATTTTGTCCTGAAAATGTGTAAATAAACAAGAAATGAAGAGGTGTTTACACAATGGAGGAGTGGCATTTTTTCTCCCCATCATCCAAGTACATATATTGGTTAGCAAACTTGTTTCTTTATGAATAATTATACATACATATCTAATACTTACTGAAAGACTTGTGGTAAGAAATTATATAAGATGAAAAGCAAAATAACTATAAAATACTGTAGTTATTAATAAATTAAATAAATTGATTAGATTTTGAGCTTTATTTTGTGCACATGCAATGATTCTCATGTACACCTGTTTCATCATTAATCAACTGGACTGTACTAAGACCAGTAGTCACTTTGTGGCAGAACTGTCATTCATTCCCACACTATAGCAGTTGCACAGAGGTGTTGCCATAATAAGTACTCAAAAAAAATATTTCTTAAACAAATGAATTTACAGTATCAAAATGTTTTTGTCTTCCAAAATACACCAAACTTAATAGGCTTTAATGAGCCCTCTTTGTTGCTATATTTAATAAATCTTTTTTCAAGTAACTTGATTTCTTTGTATTTATTTATTTATTTATTTGTTTGTTTCTTTTTTATTTATTAATTTTTAAAATTTATATATGACAGCAAAATGCATTACAATTCTTATTACACAAATAGAGCACAATTTTTCATATCTCTGGTTGTATACAAAGTATACTCACACCAATTCATGTCTTTATATATGTAAGAGTGAAGCAGGTGGTATCACTATACCAGATCTTAAACTATACTATAGAGCAATAGTAACAAAAACAGCACGGTATTGGCACTAAAACAGACTGGTAGAGCAATGGTACAGAATAGAGGACACAGAGACTAACCCCCAAATTACACTTATCTTATATTAGACAAAGGCACCAAAAAACATGCATTGGAGAAAAGATAGCCTCTTCAACAAATGGTGCTGGGAAAACTGGAAATCCATATGCAACAAAATGAAATTAAACCCCTATCTCTCACCATGCACAAAACTCAACTCAAAATGGATCAAGGACCTAGGAATAAAASCAGAGACCCTGTGTTTAATAGAAGAAAAAGTAGGCCCTAATCTGGATCATGTAGGATTAGGCCCCCAACTTCTTTAACAAGACTCCTGTAGTGCAAGAATTAAAATCAAGAATCAATAAATGGGATAAACTCAAACTGAAGTTTCTTCTCAGCAAAAGAAACAATCTGTGAGGTGAATAGAGAGCCTACATCCTGGAAACAAATCTTTTCCCCTCACACATCAGATAGAACACTAATCCCTAGGGTATGTATATAAAGAACTTTGTATCTTTTTATATTCTTCATTTGAAATTCTTTCTCTTGGTTTCCATGAGGATACCCTTGCCCATTCCCACATTTCTACTGCCTCTTTCCTGCTTTCTGCTTCTGGACTCTTTTTTTCTCTGTCTTTATGGTATACTATAGTGCTTTTAGGATTCCACCTTAGCTTGCCCTTTTAATTACTTTACACAACTTTCCTGGTTTACCTTAATGACTCTCACTGACATAATTATTGTCTCACATTTGGCTCTCCAGATATAGACCCTAAGATGAGAATGTAGGGGAAATAGATTCACTGAGGCAGTTCTCTGAGGAACAAATTGTTTTGTTTTTATGGTACTAATGATTGAATCCAGGGGTGCAATACCACTGAACCCCCCAGACCTTTTTATTGTTTATTTTGAAACAGGATCTTGATAAGTTGCCTAGGCTGACCTCCTTGTGATCCTCCTGCCTCAGCTTCCTGAGTAACTGGGATTACAGGTGTGCACACTGTGTTTGGTTAAGTGTAACATTTTAGAAAACATTACTCAATGATGCTTGCTGAAGTATAGTAAGACAGACTTTATTCAGGGGTAGCTCAATGGGTGTAGGAACTATTGCAATCTGAATTTGGAATAGAGGAGAGGAAGTAGGCTCAACTCCCAATACAAGTAGATATTTATAGCTAAAGTGAGTGAGTATATAGGTAGTGGGTAACAGATGGCAAATTA